GTGTAGACTCTTCAATGGCCATTGTGGTTCTGAACTCGGTTGGAGATGTGGTAGTCTGTTCTGTCACTTGTTCACGGGTTGAACCGATCGGAACGTTTGTGCTGGTGTCTGAAGTGATTGATGGAACAGTCGTTTCCAAAGATACTACAGCGGGAGTAGATGAATCAAATGGCCGGATGGTTGGAATTTCTGTAGCTGATGCAGTCGTTTGTTCAGTGTAAAGTCGAGTAGTTGTGTGTGAAGATAACGTTGTTGGGGGTGTCTCAGGACTTTTGGATGGAGTACTCCTCTCCGTTGCCCCAGCAGGAAGTGTAGATACTTCCGGAGGCATTGTGGTTCTGACTTCGCTGGGAGATGTGGTAGTCCGTTCTGCCACTTGCCCACCTGTTGTACCAATCGGAACATTTGTGGTGGTTTCTGGAGTCATTGATGGAACAGTAGTTTCCAAAGATACTGGACTGGGAGTAGATGCCTCAAATGGCCTTATGGTTGGAACTTCTCTAGTAGTTTCAGTCGTTTCTTCAGTGTTAAATCGAGGAGTTTTGTCTGAAGCTAAAGTTGTTGTGGGTGTCTCAGTGCTTTTGGATGGAGTACTCCTCTCCGTTGACCCAGCAGGATGTGTAGATTCTTCAATGGCCATTGTGGTTCTGAACTCGGTTGGAGATGTGGTAGTCTGTTTTGTCACTTGTCCACGGGTTGAACCGATCGGAACGTTTGTGCTGGTATCTGAAGTGATTGATGGAACAGTCGTTTCCAAAGATACTACAGAGGGAGTAGATGAATCAAATGGCCGGATGGTTGGAATTTCTGTAGCTGATGCAGTCGTTTGTTCAGTGTAAAGTCGAGTAGTTGTGTGTGAAGATAACGTTGTTGGGGGTGTCTCAGGACTTTTGGATGGAGTAGTCCTCTCCGTTGCCCCAGCAGGAAGTGTAGATACTTCCGGAGGAATTGTGGTTCTGACTTCGCTGGGAGATGTGGTAGTCCGTTCTGCCACTTGCCCACCTGTTGTACCAATTGGAACATTTTTGGTGGTTTCTGGAGTGATTGGTGGAACAGTAGTTTCAAAATATACTGGACTGGGAGTAGATGCCTCAAATGGCCTTATGGTTGGAACTTCACTAGTAGTTTCAGTCGTTTCTTCAGTGTTAAATCGAGGAGTTTTGTCTGAAGCTAAAGTTGTTGTGGGTGTCTCAGTGCTTTTGGATGGAGTACTCCTCTCCGTTGACCCAGCAGGATGTGTAGATTCTTCAATGGCCGTTGTGGTTCTGAACTCGGTTGGAGATGTGGTAGTCTGTTTTGTCACTTGTGCACGGGTTGAACCGATCGGAACGTTTGTGCTGGTATCTGAAGTGATTGATGGAACAGTCGTTTCCAAAGATACTACAGAGGGAGTAGATGAATCAAATGGCCGGATGGTTGGAATTTCTGTAGCTGATGCAGTCGTTTGTTCAGTGTAAAGTCGAGTAGTTGTGTGTGAAGATAACGTTGTTGGGGGTGTCTCAGGACTTTTGGATGGAGTAGTCCTCTCCGTTGCCCCAGCAGGAAGTGTAGATACTTCCGGAGGAATTGTTGTTCTGACTTCGCTGGGAGATGTGGTAGTCCGTTCTGCCACTTGCCCACCTGTTGTACCAATTGGAACATTTTTGGTGGTTTCTGGAGTGATTGGTGGAACAGTAGTTTCAAAATATACTGGACTGGGAGTAGATGCCTCAAATGGCCTTATGGTTGGAACTTCACTAGTAGTTTCAGTCGTTTCTTCAGTGTTAAATCGAGGAGTTTTGTCTGAAGCTAAAGTTGTTGTGGGTGTCTCAGTGCTTTTGGATGGAGTACTCCTCTCCGTTGACCCAGCAGGATGTGTAGATTCTTCAATGGCCATTGTGGTTCTGAACTCGGTTGGAGATGTGGTAGTCTGTTTTGTCACTTGTCCACGGGTTGAACCGATCGGAACGTTTGTGCTGGTATCTGAAGTGATTGATGGAACAGTCGTTTCCAAAGATACTACAGAGGGAGTAGATGAATCAAATGGCCGGATGGTTGGAATTTCTGTAGCTGATGCAGTCGTTTGTTCAGTGTAAAGTCGAGTAGTTGTGTGTGAAGATAACGTTGTTGGGGGTGTCTCAGGACTTTTGGATGGAGTAGTCCTCTCCGTTGCCCCAGCAGGAAGTGTAGATACTTCCGGAGGCATTGTGGTTCTGACTTCGCTGGGAGATGTGGTAGTCCGTTCTGCCACTTGCCCACCTGTTGTACCAATTGGAACATTTTTGGTGGTTTCTGGAGTGATTGGTGGAACAGTAGTTTCAAAATATACTGGACTGGGAGTAGATGCCTCAAATGGCCTTATGGTTGGAACTTCACTAGTAGTTTCAGTCGTTTCTTCAGTGTTAAATCGAGGAGTTTTGTCTGAAGCTAAAGTTGTTGTGGGTGTCTCAGTGCTTTTGGATGGAGTACTCCTCTCCGTTGACCCAGCAGGAAGTGTAGATTCTTCAATGGCCATTGTGGTTCTGAACTCGGTTGGAGATGTGGTAGTCTGTTCTGTCACTTGTCCGCGGGTTGAACCGATCGGAACGTTTGTGCTGGTGTCTGAAGTGATTGATGGAACAGTCGTTTCCAAATATACTACAGAGGGAGTAGATGAATCAAATGGCCGGATGGTTGGAATTTCTGTAGCTGATGCAGTCGTTTGTTCAGTGTAAAGTCGAGTAGTTGTGTGTGAAGATAACGTTGTTGGGGGTGTCTCAGGACTTTTGGATGGAGTACTCCTCTCCGTTGCCCCAGCAGGATGTGTAGATTCTTCAATGGCCATTGTGGTTCTGAACTCGGTTGGAGATGTGGTAGTCTGTTCTGTCACTTGTCCACGGGTTGAACCGATCGGAACGTTTGTGCTGGTGTCTGAAGTGATTGATGGAACAGTCGTTTCCAAAGATACTACAGAGGGAGTAGATCCCTCAAATGGCCTGATGGTTGGAACTTCTCTAGTACTTTCAGTCGTCTCTTTTGCGTAAGGTCGAGTCGTTGAGTCTGATCGTAATGTTGTTGATGTCTCAGAACTTTCAGATGGAGTAGTCCTATCAGTTGACCCTGAAGGAAGTGTAGATACTTCGAGAGACATTGTGGTTCTGACTTCGCTGCGAGATGTGGTAGTCTGTTCTGTCACTTGCCCATCTGTTGTACCAATCGGAACATTTGTTGTGGTTTCTGGAGGGATTGATGGAACAGTAGTTTCCAAAGATACTGGACTGGGTGTAGATGCCTCAAATGGCCGGATGGTTGAGACTTCTCTGCTAGATTCAGTCATTTGTTGTGTTGAAGATAATGTTGTGGGTATCTCAGAACTGTCAGATGGACTAGTTCTATCATTTGACCTTGTAGGAAGTGTCGTCATAGTCGGAGATGTGGTAGTTTGTCCTGGTTGTTTCCCTTGTGCTGTCCCAGTGTGCACAATTGTCATGGATTCGGGGGTTATTGATGCGACAGTAGTTTCTGGATGTGCTGGACCAGAAGTAGATCCTTCGACTGGCCTGATAGTGGGAATTTCACTAGTAGGTTCAGTCTCTGTTTCTGGGTTAGTAGAAAGTTGTTTTGTCGTCTTATAAGACTCGGTTGTACTTGTGTAAGAAACTGTTGTTTCGTTTTCGGCTTCTATATCGGTAAAGCGGGTTCTCATTTCAGTTTGATTTGCCAATTGCATTACAGTGTACTTTACGTTAATAAAGTCCGTTGTCGTTTCTATTGCTTGAGTTGTAGTCTCTATTGTTATTTCTGTCGAAGTGCAGTTTGATTCTGTATTGTTCGTTAAGGTTGCTGGACAAGTACATATAGTAACCCTATGTGCTGATACAACACACTTTACTGCGCCAGCACAGGAAGTGAGGCAGGGGTCGATACATTTACCCGACGATCCACATTGGTGCGCTTCACTGCAATCTTCGTTTGAGGTACAGTTGCCACCTGGCTTAGCTGCTTCAAAATTTCAGGGTTTTGGGATTTTTTTTATATAATATTGGGATATACGAGTGGAGTATTTTGTACATATTTCAAAATAAAAGTGTAGGGTTTAAAAAAATAAAAAAATACGTTAAAATATTTACAAATATATACCAAATATAGGATAGAAAGTGTAGAGCTACAACAATAAGGAAGGTGCACTATATATACAGAAGGGTGTACCTAGGGATATACTTTTGGAGGTGTGGATCTAACTCTCTTGCGTACGACTGCAACTGTAAACAAATATCGGAAGCTTCATAAACTATTTTACGGTTAATCAATTTCAAATTAGGAACGAACGCCTTTACTATTAGTTAGCTACATTTTGGTGTTGGATTGGTATTAATTAGTATTAAATCTTTTTACCGTTTATTTAGGTTCATAGGTTAAATTTTCATAGTACAAATATTCAAGAGGCATTTGATTAATTAATTGATTATTATAACTGTGAGCATGAGCGTGTGTGAATGTTCAGAAGAGTTTTCTTGTAATTGTGTCTTCATGTTATTGGTATTTTTTGTGGCTTCAAACGATCATTCAGATCAATGTTTGGACAACTCTTTTCATTTAAGTGCTTTCGCCCAGTCTCTGTGCTTGTAGCATAAAGCATCTGATCATAAGGTTAAAAAGTCGCTGGACTTGAATTTGGCTTGTAACTAAGCTTTGGGAAGGAAAGTTGACCATATCAATAGGCGAAAGCTTGATACGGCTACAGGCTGTTAATTTCTCAGACCTATGTACACTTCCACAAACATTGCAAGGAAACAGATTGACAAGGCCCAAAGGACTAATCAGGAGTACGCGGCTTTGGTCAATACATTTCGTCGGGCAAATTGGTTTGTGTGCTTTATCGCTGTTATATTTTTTGTAAGGGGACAGACAATAAGACAGAGCTAGCAAAAGGTGAGAGCGTGTGTGAGAAAGAGCAGGAAACAGAGATATTCGAGTCGGAAACATAAGACACTTTCACTCGACAGAGAGCTGAGTGACAGAGAGTACTTTTGGTGCTTTACCTTTTTGACATCCATTCTTGGCATCGGCTATAAATCCAGCTGGGCAGAATTTACATATCGGCTTGTGATCCTCGACAATGCATGGCGAGTTGGGTGCGCATGTGGCAAACTCGCACGGATCGACGCACTTGAGCTTCCGGCAAGCCTGGCTAGCCGGACAACCGGCGTCGCGCAGGCAAATGGATATGGATGGCTGGCAGTCGCGCATACAAATGCAGACTGGCTTGTGATTCTGCACCTCGCAGGACTTGTTCTCGGCACAAATTGCGGCTCGGCCCAGGGGCACGATGCAAGGATTGCGGCACTTGCCATCGGCGCAGGCCATGTTCGAGGCGCAGTCATCGTCTCGATAGCACTCCCGCTTGTCTGGGGCGCACGTTAGTTCTCCGAACTCATTCACTATGAAGCCCGACTTGCAGATACAAACGGGCTGGTGACGTCTCGTCTCGCACTTCTTGTTGCTCTCGCAGATGAAGAGCGGATTGTTGCACGGATCTGTGCATTGACCATACTGGCCGCACTGCAACGTCTCTGGACACTCGGAGTCTGTGGAGCATGGGACCTGCTCCTTGGTCTTTGGGTCTGTGTCCTCGGGCAAGCACTTGGGATCAGACTTGCACTCGATCTCTGGCCGACCGATGTGGCAACTGGGGCAGGAGCAGCGCGGTCGATGCAGTACGGTTTTGCAGAGAGCATTCAAACCACACACGCCACGCATTGTACAAGGATCGCTGCAGTGTCCTTGGAGGCATGATTTTTCACTGGGACAATCCGTATCTGAGTAGCATTGTTCGGTGTCTATAACATTATATCCAGGGCAGGGAAGAACGAGAGAGAGATAGACAGGAGTTGTTTGGTTGTTTAAATGTTAATCGTTGGTGGGTGCATTCAACTATTCGGTGGCATAAACGGTACAGTACGCTACTAAATAGATATATCTTTTTGTGGGTATGAAAACACATAGAAACGAAAGTGCGACATTGAAATCGTCGAGTCAAAGTTTGGACTTGAGCCTGATGGACAAAGTCTATAGTTGATAGTCTGGCGGAAGATTCAGATTCAGGGCTGGTTGGGATATTGCAGTAGAAAGTGTAAACACAAAATTTTGGAAACATGAAGTATAGGTGACTCGCATAAGACTTAAGGCTAAACGTTTCTAAAAACAAAAGGAGAAAACTTAAACGACAAAATATATAAAAAGTATTTTTCAGTTTCTTTTTATTATGGTTGATTTGGGATTGGGCCTTTTTTGCTTAAGTGTTGTGTTTTTTTTTTTTTATGGTGTTTGGGTTGGGTTGTGTGTGTTGCTGTGGGTCGGCTTCTGTGTTCAATTAAGTGTAAGTGGGATTGTTGTGGACTCGATTTTGGGGTTGCGGGTTTTGTGCATGGGGTTTGTTAAAGTAAATGAAAATTTCAGCGGGGATTTATAACGAGTTAAAATAAGGGAACGGTGCGATCAGAAATCATAAGGTAACTAAAAGAAAATAAAACTGAGGAAACTTAAAATTTGAAAAGGGTCTCTTAAGTGGCTAACTTTAGTTGGTGCAGTTAGTTTAGGCAGACAACTATAGCGAAGGCTGATTATTATTTTGTTTGTCTTAATCAAATTGTAGAACTGTGAAGGGAACATCTCACAATAACTAGGGTTGTTTGTATCTATAGGCAGGCCAAAACAATGCTTATCAATAAAATTGGCTGCTTTTAGTTTTTGTCATTGGTAGGTATGAGTTCGACCGAGGTTATCGATCAGCGTACAAGTGAGCGAGTGGGGGTAGCAGTAAAAATCGGGTGAGCATAGTTACAATTCTTGATGATTTACCATTTTGCGAGCGAGCATAGAGCCTGTCACTTTCCCAATTCGCCCAATTAATTTGATGCTGTACTAGAGGCAGGCTTAGTTGACCAATGAATTATCTCGGGATTAATGCGAATTCGAGCTAATATATATTTTGGTTTATTGTTTGTTCAGTTTGAATAATGGCAAAAATTACACGACATCCAACACATGCGCTCTGCCCTCACGAGAGACACGTTATTGGCGATTGGATTTGTGAGTGAGTGATTGATTCATAGGAGAGATATAGAAAGATCTATTGGAAGAGGATGAAGTGTAGGTACAAGTCTGGCAATAGCAAGTTTAGCTTTGTAGAAGAGTGCTTTAGTAAGAACGTGAAAAATCAGTAGTAGTGGAAAATTGATGGGTAAATACAATTTTGAAAAGTTCGTTACAAATATACGTGTCAAACTAAATTTATTCGGGTTATTTATAATTCAGTTTTCAAATTTGGTTTATATTTACAGATTGTATTTGGTGAGGTTAGTTTGATTGGCCACCAAGATGTGACCTATTCGTTTACGAGTATATGTACAGGTATGTACAACTTGCTGTATATACAACTTAATCACTAGTCAAACGTACCAAAATATAATTGAAATGTTAGTTAAATTTAGTTACAATTTATATCAATTCGGGTTGTTGTTTATATAGAGTTTTACCAATAGACGATCTATGCAGAGAGTGGTAGATAGGGAGGAGCTTTCTTAATACGTATTTTAGAAGGAGCTTTTTACATAATAAACGGTTGGTTTAATTTCGGTTATTCAGTAGACTTGCTTTAAGGATGCATTGAAAAGTAGTAGTAGCTGTTGATGTTGCTTTTGTTTTGGTAATCGTTCTGTACACAGTTGTAATGGATCTTAACTTGATAGCTATGTTCCTCAATTGGTTTCAAATTGTTTCAAGCATATGTGAACTATGTGTGAGAATTGTCCCGTCCACAGTTCCCAATCTGAGACTTTGTTCATTTAAGAAATGTGACAAAAGGGTATTAGCAAAAGGAAACGACAGAGCGATAGGAAAACATCATTTCAGGTTCAAAAGGGGTGGACAGAGCGGAATCGGAGAAAGGATGGGATTTTTTTGGGTCAGGAGTTCGTTCATTTTTTTGTTTTCAGTATCAAGGATGTGTTGAGGATTGTTGTCTATATGATAAGCGTGGCATTATGTGTTGTTTTCTTCTTTGTTTTTTTTATTTTTTATATAATTGTTTAGTTCTAAATGGTGTGCCTTCTTTGCACTTTTCCTGATTAACCAGTTTAAATTTTCACTACAAATTTTATAGACTACATATCGCTATCGCGGCATTTGTCATTAGACTAAATGTTTAATTGGGATGAACTAAATCGTTTACTGTTCTGTGCGTTAACTGTTTCCAAGTTTTAATGAATGCCGCATTATTAAGTGCCAATACAGATGGTTATTCAACGCCAATTGTATGGTAACTAGGGAAGGATTTCAATGAGAACTTAGCTTTATGAAAGCCGAATGAAATGAAATGGCAAGCTTTAAGCTTAATGAGAACTAAGATAAATTCTTGATATTTTTTTTAAGGAATGCACTGATTGTGAATGTAATTTTAGTAAGGTAATTTTAACTTTCTTATAACTAAGCTTAATTTTGTTGCGTATTTCTTTAAGTAATGTGTGTTTCAAAAATGAATTGTAGGCACAGATTGGGTAACCGCGATAGCGACAGCAACATTTCACGAATCTCCATATGCGTTGATGGTATTGTAAAGTAAAGTGCTTAAGATCTAGTAAAACTCAAATAAAAATAAAACAAAATTGCAAATAAGAACTGTGCACTGTATATTCATCGGCATGTCTGTTGCTTAAAAAAACAACATAGTTGCCTTTAGGGAGTTGGTTGTGTAGGTGGCTTTTTTGGTTTCTTAGCGTGTTTTTTGTACGTGCTGGGAATGTCGATATTAGACTAATACCTGAAACTTCGCACATGTGTATAAGTTGTTAAGAAAAAACTCAAAATGTATTAGCATTTGTATTTTTAAACACACACTACACTGAAATCAGATTTGTTTGGGCAAATGTTCTAAGCAGCCGCGAGGGCCGATAAATTAGTGGAATTAGCTAATTAGCTGGTTTAAGTTTTTGTGTTTAAACAACTCAAAACTATGTAATTAAACCAAGAATATTATAACAATATAAAGTCAATGTCAATCAGTTACTAACAAACTTCCAGTTATATTGGTAAGGGTAAAAACTTCAACGATATAACGCTTACTGATTACAATAACGATAACTTTTAAAAACGCTGGTTAACTTGATTAGCATTAACGGTACGGTATGGTCTAAAACACTCAAAACCTGAACATAAACTGGGGACTTACCCTGCTGGCAAACGTATTCATAGCCCTGGCGTACACAGCCGCCGACTTCGCATCCTAGGGTACGACAATCCTGCTTCGGCGTGGTCAAGTAACCTTTATTAAAGGGATAATTATTAATCCAACTTAAATAACCTGCGATAACTACAACACTTACATTGCACATAGGCATCACCATTGGGGAAGTCCTCTGGGCAGTAGCATTCGGCTTGATTGTTTTCCAGTACGTGGCAGGCGGCATTTAGCCCGCAAGGATGATCCCGACAGGCATTCACTAGAGGTCCGCCGCAAAGGCATCCCTGGTGGGCATCACCAATGCAGCCATCCATGCAAGCGCATTCATAGCCTCCAGGCACCTCAGTGCACTTGGAGTTCTCACCACAGGGTTTGCTTGAGCATCCTCCTTCCAGCGGTCTGCACTCACTAGTCGGATTGCCAAAGAAGTCCGGCGGACATGAACATTGAGCCTTGCGACCCACCACCCGACACTGAGCATTGGTGCCACAAGCTCCATACTCCAGACAAGGATTGCGGCACTTTCCTTGGTCGCAGCGCTTATTGCTGTCGCAATCGGTGTCCACACGGCACTCGAACTGCACGCACTCCTTACTGGGCTCGCCTTCATATCCATCCGGACAGTAGCACAGCATCCGGTGCTCGGACACAGTGCAAAGAGCATTCCGTCCGCAAGCCTTCTCGTTCGCACAAGGATCGGAGCACTTTCCATTGACACAACTCTGGTCGGCGGCACAATCACCGTTCGACTTGCACCCGGCAATGCAAGCGCCTCTCTCGCAAAGCTGTCCCACCGTACACTGACGCTTGGGTCCGCACTTATTCCGGCACTTTCCTCTGGCACACTGTTGTCCACAGGCGCAATCCTCGGTTCTTGAGCATTTGGCTGCGCAATAGGCTCCGTTTTCGTCGCATTCACAGCCAGGATGGCAGCGTTCCGGCGGGAGTTGGCAGCCAGTCAAACCGTCTCCCATAAAGGCGGCAGGACACTGGCATTGGACTCCATGGTTGACAACAAGACAGTCGGCACACTGGCCACATTGGCCGGGCGTGCGACATGGATTCTGGCACTTCTTGTTCACGCAGGCCTCGTCGGTGGCACAACTCAAATCGGTACGACATCCAGTCTGGCACATTCGGTTTTCACAAATCTGTCCCTGAGCACAGGCCTCATCGGTGTTGCATACGGTTCTACATGTTCCTCTCATGCAACGCTCATCCGCCAAGCAGTTCTGATCGTTCCTGCACTTTCCTTGACAGCTGCCAGCATAGCATAGCTGATTCGATTGGCAATCCTCGTTCCTGCCACAAGCAATGCGAGGCACCTTGCAGGCCACATTGGCATTGCCATCAAGACCCTCTGGACATAAGCACTGTTTTCTATGATCGATCGTTTGGCAGAGGGCATTAGTGCCGCAGGCAGTGGGATCTGCACATGGATCCACGCACTGCTGACCCACGCAGGACAGGTCCTGGGGGCAACCCTGATCGGAACGGCATCCAGGTACGCAGTTCAGGCCAAGACAGAGCTCTCCATGGCCGCATTCATTGTCGTGGCGGCAAAGGGGTTTGCAAACTCCCTGCTGACAACGCTCGTTGGTTAAGCAGCCGGCATCGTCGGCGCATAGAGGTCGGCATACCGACTCGAAGCAAGCCAATCCATTTCCACAGTCGCGATTCTCGCGGCATTCCAAGGGAGGAGAACGGACGCAGCCCACCTGGGGTGTGGGATTGGGCACCATACTCTCCAGACAACTGCAGCTAGCACGGTGGTTGGATACCGAACAGGCGGCATTGGGACCACAGGGACTCTCCAGACAAGGGTTTACGCACTTATCGTTGCGACAAGACTCTGAGGCACTGCAGTCATCGTCCACATGGCAGCCATACACGCACTTGTTGTGCAGGCAAACGTGACCCAGGAAGCAATCGTTGTCCACCCGACAGGTCACTAGAGAAGAAAGATTATTATTAGATTGGGTGAATCTGTTTATTGGTGCCCACCCTCATAATATTCTTTTGCGAATTATGATATATGGCTAGACCACTTACGCATACAGCTGCCCTTCAGGCACTTCTCGTTGGAGGCGCACTCCAGATCGTTGTGGCACACAGGCAGGCACATGGAGTCGCGGCAGGTATATCCAGGAGCGCACTCGCCATCGCAAGCCACCGGCACACGCACACACTCCTTCGCAGAGTCGCCGGTGAAGCCCTCCGGGCAATGGCACTGTTTCAGATGATTCTGCATCACGCACTCGGCATTCTGGCCACAGGCCTGCGGTTGAAGGCAGGGATTGAAGCATTGGCCACCTTGACACACTTCGAATGCTCCACATTCGGTGTCCAGAACACAGGCAGCTGTTTGGATGAAGATCATAAATTAATAACTCTTTTTCAAAGGAATAAGTATTTATCCCGGTTGGCGTTACGGTCCCGATTTGTTCGCGGAGTGTAGTCAAATGTGTAAATTGTTGTATTTTTATTTTAGTTTGCAGTTAGTCTTAGTTAAATTATAGCATTTGGTTAAGTTCGTAGGCTTTGAGCCAGTCAAAGGTTGTGTTGCAGTGGTAGTAATGCTATCTAATACAGTCTTTTAAGTATAAATAGGATATTGGAGTTGCTGATCAATTTTTTTTAAATTTAAATATTACCACTTGGGATTGCAGTGGTGAGCCTATCGAACTATTTTATAGATTCATCATTCATTTGTAATTTATTTTTGTTTTAAGAGTAAGCTCCTGTTTAACAGTAAGTACCTAAGTGCTAGTTTTTGAGTAAGTAGTACTAAAAGGTTGTTACAAGGTTGATTAGCCAATTCACGTTGTCTGGTAGTCGGTTTAGGCCCGGTGCTGGGTGGGTGTTAATACTTACGTTTGCAGACGCTATCCGAACAGTATGTGTTGGTCGGACAGTCGCCGGTGACCTGACAGGGAGACGGCAGCGGCTTACAGCCGGCCACCCGGTCGGCGGGTTGGCCATCGTAGCCGCTGCGGCATGCACACTGCGCCACATGGCCCTTCGGAACACATTCCGCATTGGGACCACATTGCAGCTGGGCACAGACATCGCGGCACTTGGCCACCCCATTGGTTTTGGTGCATGCGGCATGCGGGGGACAGTCCTCGTTGGTCTCGCACTCAACAGAGCTGCGACAGCCCTCGTTGTACGGATCACCAACGAGTCCCGGGGGACAGGTGCACTTGTACGACCCCCTCGCGTTTCGGCAACGGGCTCCGGGTCCGCACGGAGCATCCCGGCAAAAATCTATAACATCGCAACGAACCCGCGGGTCTCCAGAGAATCCTGGCTGGCAGTGGCAAACCTGCTGGTGGTGTTCTGTGGTGCAGAGGGCATTCTCTCCGCACGGCTGTCCAATGAGGCAGGCAATCTTGCACATGTGGTTGTCGCAGCTCTTGTCATTAGAGCAGTCATCGTCGCTACTGCACTCGATCTTTCGGCATCCAGACTTGGCGTCCCCGAAGAATCCCTCCTTGCAGAGGCAATCGGGAGCATGGGAACGTGCAACGCACTCTGCATTCCTACCACAGGCAGCGCGACCAAGACACACAGATTCACACTTTGCACGCCCATAGGCATCACTCAGACAGGTTTCGTCTTCGCCACACTCGCTATCGGATCGGCACTCCAGCTCCTTGGTGCAAATGTTATTCAAACAGAACTGGAACTGGGGACAGCTTGAGTTTGACTTGCAGGTTCCCTGACAGACGCCCTGCAAACACAACTGTTCCGAAATACAATCACGATTGGTGCTGCACAACGGACTGCAAATTCCGTGGGAGCATATGCTTCCCTGGGCACATTGTCCGTCCTGCTGGCAATATTGCAGCTGCACACATCCCAGTTTGGCATCTCCGGTACTGCCCGCTTCGCAGGAGCAAACTCCGATGTGATTCTGCACCGAGCAACGTGCCAAAGCTCCACAGGCATTGGGCAGGGAACAGGGATCTATGCACTTCGAATCCAAGCATGCTTTCTCCCCGGAGCAATCGTCATTGTCCGCGCACTCAATGTGTACGCACTCGATTGCGGGATCTCCACGGGAATTCAGAGGACAAGTGCAAATGGCTTGATGGCCCTGTGCCTGGCAGTTAGCATTTAATCCACAAGCATTCTGCCGCTCGCAAGGACTACGGCATCGGGAGTTTTGGCAACTTGCTGATGCAGGACAGTCCGCATCACTCAAACACTCATTAGGATCCCGACAACCGGCTTGCAGGGGATCTCCGATCAATCCCTCCGGGCACTGGCAACTGTAGCTTCCTGGAAGATTGTTGCAAAAAGCTGTGCTGTGGCATGGCTGCGATAGACACTCGTTCATGTCCTCACATATTCCGTTGACTAATTGATATCCTTCGTAACAGGCACATGTCGCCTTGTGATCCTTCACCTGGCAATTGCCCTTTCCGCAACTAGTCAGATCACATGGCTTAATGCATCGGTTGGTTTCCGCATCGCAGGCACGATCTTCAGCACAATCCACATGGTCGATGCACTCCACCTTGAAGCATCCGACTCCAGTGTCGTTGGGGTCTCCCAAAAATCCAGCTGGGCAGCTGCATAGAGCTTCGTGTCCTTCCGACTGGCAATTGGCATTAATGCCGCAAACAGTATGTAGGCAAGGATCCGTGCACTTTCCATGTATACAGGCCAGACTATTGGCACAATCGTCTGGTTTGTGGCATTGCCTGGGCTGCGAGCAACCCGGCTGGGAGTACCCATCGCCGACTGTTCCTTCGGGGCATACACAACGATAGGTTCCCGGAAGGTTCTCGCATCGAGCACTGGCATGGCAGGGCTGTTCCGTGCACTCATCAATATCCGAGCATCCAAAGGGTGTGCCTATAAATCCGGTGGCGCACTTGCACTTTCCTGTCAGACACAATTCGGTGGGTGGGCAATCGGCATCTGAATCACATCCTGGTTGGCACGTCCTGTCCGAATTACAGATTTCTCCGGCCAAACAGTTGTTGCTGGTATAGCACACCTTGCGGCAGACTTGTTGATAGCAACGTTCACCAACTGCACAGGAAGCAGTCTTGGTGCATGGAAGATTGCACTGATTTCCAATGCACATGTGTCCGCTGGGACATTGATTACTGGCTAAGCAGGGAGCTGGAACTCGAACGCATCCCTGTTCTGGTGTGGGGTTGCCCTCGAAACCTTCCGGGCAACTGCACTGGCTATGGTGCTGATCAATGCTGCACAGGGCATTTGGACCACAACTGTTGGCAGACTGGCAGGGATTCAGGCACTTGTTCTCAATGCAAGACTGATCCTGCTTGCACTCCTTGTTGCTGCGACAGCCGATGGTGCAGTGTCCCTCGACACAGGCCAGTCCACTTGCGCACTGACTGTGATCCAGGCAGGCAACCACACAGACATTCTTCAAGCAGCTCTCGCCATCGGAGCAGTCTTGGGTGTTCCGGCAAGCAATACGGCATTGTCCATTGTAGCACAGCGCTCCTCCGCAGTCGACATCTGTGAGACATTTAGATATGGTCCGAGCACATCCATCCTTGGCAGTATCAGAGATAGGCTGGAATCGCAAGGGACAACTGCATACGGGTTTCCTATTGACAACCTTGCACTCAGCATTCGATCCGCAAGCGTTGTCGCAGGGATTTTGGCATATTCCTCCGGCGCAGATGGTGTTCGCTGGGCAGTCGGCGTCTCCACTCGGGCACTGACCATCTGGACGGCAGCCACCCGACTTCGGGTCGCCCACAAAAAGCGGCGGACACTTGCAGACAGGTCCTTCAGGAGTGACCTCGCAAATTGCGGATGGGTGGCAAGTTCCAGCGGCACAGCCGCCTTGTTTGGTGCAGGCCACTTCCGGTAACGGATCTCCCTTAAATCCAGGTGGGCACTGGCAGACGGCCCGATGATCCTCAGCTAAGCAAATGGCATTGTCGCCGCAGGACTCCTCGTCGCACACATCGAAGCATGTGTGTGTCATACGGTTGCACATCTGGCTGGGTGGACAGTCATGGTTGTAAACACAAGGAACACTCTGGCAGCCATTAAATGGATCGTATGGATCTCCGGCGAAAGGTCCAGGTGGACACTGACACTGCGCCTGATGGTTATTGGTGACACAAACGGCTCGGGGTCCACACTTCACCGTATCACACGCTGGACGACAGCCGAGGGTTTGGGTAGATTCATCCTTAATACAGGCCTCCGACTCCTGGCACTCGGCGTGGTTTCTGCAGTGATGTTTTTGGGCCGCCTGGCAGCCGTTCCTATCGTTGGGGTTACCCACGAATCCGTTCAAGCAATCACAGCGTCCCTGGTGCTGACGGGCTACGCAAACCGAGTTGGCTGGGCACGTGAAGGCATCACAAATGGCGACGCACTTAAGGACTCCCAAGACATCCGGTCGACAGGCAGATGCATCAGGGCAATTAGCGTCACTGGTGCAGTCTGGCAGTGAAGGCTTTTCGCAGGAAGAAACCACTGGGTTCCAGACATAGCTCTCGGCGCAGTTGCAAATGGCATGCCCAGCTGGATTAATCTTGCACAGCTCGTTGGGTCCGCAGACGACGTTGGAGCACAGGTTAATGCACTCCTTGATGCCGTGAACGCTGGCCTGACAACCGTATCCCCGATTACAGTCCTGATCCGATTTACATTTATCCTTTTCCTCGGTAACTGTTCTTTCCGGCTGGCAACCCACCTGTAGGTTGCTTGGGTTTCCGAAGAATCCGTCAGAGCATATACATGAAGATCGATGATCCTCGGACACGCAAAGAGCATTGGGTCCACACTGAATCTTGGAGCACGCGTCCACACATTTGCGCAGACCCTTGCCTAACTGGAAGCAGATCTCAGAGTGCAGACAGTCCGCATCATTGCCACACTGACCGCGAATGCTGCAACCCTGAACTTGGTCATGGGGATCTCCAATGTAACCCATGGGGCAAATGCAATTTCCGGCATCGCAGATAGCTCTTGGCCCACACGAAGCTTGGGAGCAGAGGTTTTTGCACTGTCCTTTTTGGCAACTGTAGCCATCAGGACACTCTACTCGTTCGTTGCACTGGCACTTATTCGCATCTTGGCAGAATTTGCTCTCAATGGGTTGACAACTACTGTAGGGATTTCCGGCGTGTCCAGAAAGACACAAGCACTCGAATCCTCCGGCTCTATTTAAACAGGCAGCATTTAGACCACAAGGTTTGTTGACACACTCATCCACATCCTGGCAGCCAATGTAGGGATTACCACTGAAGCCCTGTGGGCAAACACAGGAGATGTGGTTGCCCACAGCACGGCATTCGGCATTGGGTCCACAGCTATTCGGCTGGCATACGTTCTTGCTTTGCGCTCCACAGCCTTCATAGGGATTACCAAATGTTCCCGGGTTACAGGCACATCGGCTCTGACCCAATCCGTACTCGCAGTGTGCGTTCTCTCCACATCCTGGAGAGCACTTGGCCTGCTCGATGGGTGGCATGCAGATCAGGTCAGGATTACCCACAAAGTTCGGCTCGCAGATGCACTTTCCATTGTTCCTATCGCAGGTGGCTCCAATGCCACAGACCACACCCTCGCAGCGCTCCTTGCATCTTCCATTGATGCAGATCTGCCGTTCGCCACAAGGTCTGGCGGCTGAGCACTGATCTGTGCTGCAGCTGCCGCCGGGGAAGGGATTTCCGAGCTGTCCTTGCGGGCACTTACATGTGGGTCCGTCGCTAGTTGGAATGCAGAGAGCTCCATCGCCGCAAATCACGTCCTGACACTGAGACACGCAGTCTCCATTGCCATTTTTGACATATCCCACTCGGCAACGACACCAGCCAGCATGTTGCTCCGTCTCACAGTAGGCATTGGATCCACACAGAAGACTGCTACATGGGCTTACGCAGCTACCTTCCAAGCAGGCTAGATTACTGGCGCAGTCATCGTTGCTGAGGCACTTGCTCTTCGGCGTGCCGCTCTCAAAGATGCAGCCACTCTTGTACGGATCTCCGGTATAATCCTTGGGGCACACGCACTGGTATCCGCCCTTCTTGTTTACACAGTATGCTCCATATGCACAAGGGAGATGGGAGCACTCGTCTTCATCGGTGCATCCCAGCAGTGGATCTCCCTTGAATCCAGCCTCGCACATACATTGTGGAGGATCCGAGGGCGTACACTTAGCATTGATGCCACACGGGAAGCGTTCGCAAGGGCTCTTGCACTTGTTGTTGTCCTGCGGATCCAGGAAATATGGAGGTGGGCAAACACACTCTCCTGGCTGGATGCATTTTTCGTTGCTAGCGCACTCCCTGTCGGCAGCGCATTTCCTTTGTGCGAGGGCACATAGTCCGTTGTAGGCATCTCCTTGGTAACCCTCGGGGCAGTGGCAACTATAGCTTCCTGGCTTGTTTACGCACTGAGCTCCAAAGGCGCACAGTTGAGCGCCCCGTTCTGCGCACTCGTCGACATCTACACAGCTTCCATCCGGTTGGGTTTGGTATCCCTTGGGACATGCACAGTAACTAACACCTCCAGCTATGGAGATGCACTCAGCTCCGCTGGGACAGGCCTGTCCACTGGAGCATCCTGACAGAACACAACTATTTCCAACAAGCTTGTACGGCGACTGACACTGGCACTCCGGCGTATTGCAGATCTCGCACATGATGAAGGGATTTCCGTTATGACCCTGTGGGCAGCGGCACTCGTAGCTACCAGGTAGATTCTTACAGAGAGCATTAAGTCCACAAGCTGGTTTTCCTCTTTGCACCGAGCACTCATCCACGTCCTGGCACTGACCGTTCTCGGGATTTCGTTCATAGCCCTGTCGACAAATGCACACGCTGCTGCCCGTGTATGAGTCTTGGACGCAAGTCTCACCAGTCGCGCAAGGATTGGCATCAGAGCAGCCCACCGTCTTTGAGGTAATGCATCCCTCGCGGTATGGATCTCCACTGGATCCCCCTGGGCACTGGCACAGATAGCCTCCGGCAGTATTCGAACAGATAGCCTTCTCTGCGCAGGGATTTGCGCGACATTCGTCGATGTCACTACAGCCTCCTGCAAGAGCAGAGTTTCCTGTGTATCCTGGAGCACATAGGCACTGAGCCTGTCCATTGGCCAGCATGCACTGAGCATGTGCTCCACAATTGAGGGCTTCGCAGGGATGACGGCAGTCATTGCCAATATTCGGTTCCGGACACAGGCAGCGCTTTGTAGCATCACAGATGGAGTTACCCGGGCAGTCCTCGTTAGCGGAGCAACTGACAATGGGCACACACCTCACACTAGGATCAGGATCGGCAATGGTGTTCCCGGGGCAACGACAGGTGTATCCACCACCTGGTACGTTCACACATTCAGCTCCAGCTCCACACTTGCTGGCTCCTGTGCGGCACTCATCTACATCGACGCATTTGGAGTGCGGATCTCCAGAGAATCCAGGTGGGCAGGCACATGTAAATCCTCCGGCACTGTTCGTACACGTGGCATTCTGACCACAGCTTCCGAAAGGTCCATGCATCGCATCGCACTCATCAATGTCCACACATCCCGCAGCGACATCGCTCGGGTTGTAGGTCCATCCATCCTCGCACACACAGTAGGCTTCATTTTGATCCGGTTTACAGTAGGCATGGGCTCCACACCGCACATCCTCGCAAGGCTGCTTGCACGCCATTCTTGGCGGACTGCCCACATATCCCGCCTCGCATTCACAGCCGTACGACCCGGGCGTATTCAGGCACTGGGCATGGGGACCGCACACCTCAGCGTGGGTGCGACACTCATCGATGTCCACACAACTGGATCCAATGGGTTCGAATCCATCCAAACAGAAGCACTGATTCTCAATGCACTCCGCATTATTGGTACAATCGAAGTTACTGCTGCACAGTATATTGACATCCACCTGTTCGCAGGCCACCTTGGGATCGGGTTTGCCATCATATCCCTGCGGGCACTTGCAATTGTAACCAGGAACAGTATTTTCGCATACCGCATGCTGTCCACAGGGCTTATCCAATGCGGTGCACTCATCGATATCTACACAACCACGGAACGGATCACCAGTATAGTCCGGCTTGCATGTGCAAACGAAGCTGCCAACGGTGTCCGTGCAGATCGCATTCTCCCCACACGGATTATCCTGACACTCGTTGATGTCTACGCGATTTCCAGTTGGTGCAGGGACAGGGGTGATGGTTGATTGGAGAAGGAGCGCGCGTGTTCGTTTGCGGGTTTTGGGGTGAGTTAAATATATTATAATTAATTTAATTAGTATGCAAAACAATACAGAATCGGATGATAGGCGAGGGAGCACAGCGTGAAGTGGGGGAGCGGGATTTGGATCGGGCGGGGTACACAGATATAGAGAAGAGAACGGGAAGATGGGACTACGGGAACACAAAAGGAAGCTGTCTGAAAAGCATGCATCTGCCGGGAAAGCAAATAAGCCAAGCTTGAAGCTTGCAAAACAGCTATGTGTTGGAAAGCAGGGGAGGAAGCAAGAAACAAGGCTGGCAAAAGTAATTCCAGAAACTTGGGGATTTGCCAGCTTTGTGAACTACTAAAATGCATGGGCTCTATAAACAACAGGTTTTATATATATAAAAAAAAAAATAACTTCGAATTATTTAAATTTAAGATCTGTTTTAAAATTCTTTTTCAAAATCGTTAAAGAAATGCGTTTTATCACATCAAAAGTTATATTACCCCTTAAAAATTTTAAGTTTAAATTACATGCATATGTAACATTTAATGTATATTTACATTCTAAATTCCTTTCGTTCAAAGTAATGTTTATAGAGCCCAAGCAAAGGCAAAAAGCAGGCAGGATACTAACTCTCGCAGTGCAAATAGCCTTGTCCTTGGAATCCACTGGGACACAGGCAGCGGTATGAGCCGGGGAAGTTAATGCACTTGGCATTGGTGCCGCACTTGGCCACTCCGTCCGGCTGATTGCACTCATCGATGTCCAGGCAGGCCAGACCGGCGCCCGAGGTCCTTTGATAGGGCGCCACGTCCGTCGCCCCCGGCCCGTAGCCCAATTGTTGGGTGTTCTGCGGCTGAGGCAACTGATCCGCATGCGGATCGTGCTCCAGCACAAAGCCGGAGGGACAGCGGCACTGGAAGCTACCGCCCAGGTTCACGCATTCCGCACCCAAACCGCATGGATTGTTAGTGGCGCATTCATCGACATCTGCCGGCGTTAGGCATTAATTGTTGTATTAATGTTGCATGTTGCGGTGCATTAATGTACGATTATAGTAATAATAATGTGTGTGTAGGTGTTTGTTCGTATGTTGAAGGTGCCGCCAATTCAAGTTCAAATAAACAAAAGTGCAAAAAACAACCAAAATGGAACAATGAGCTAATTTAATTTCCATACTGTGTAGCTAATCTACTTACCCTCGCAACCGTGCATGGGATCACCACTGTAGCCGTCCGGACACAAGCAGCGGAAGCTGCCGTCCGTGTTCAAACAATCCGCGTTCCGGCCGCAGGGCGTCCGTGCGCACTCATCCTGGTCCACGCAACCGGACTCCGAGCGTCCATCGCCGTCGTATCCCGGCGGGCAGTCGCAGCGATAACTGCCCTCGAGATTCGTACATATGGCACCGGGTCCGCAGACATTCGGGTACGAGCACTCGTCCACATCCTGGCATCCCTCCCGATACGGATTGTTGCCCACATAGCCCTCCGGGCAGGTGCATGTGTAATTGCCCGGCGTGTTGGTGCACAGGGCGTTGGGACCGCAGTTCTCCGGATTGCGGCACTCGTCCACATCCGTGCACAGAACCTCGCCGTCACCCTCATATCCATCCTTGCACTTGCAGAGGAAGTGCGCCGGCAGGTTGCAGCACTCGGCGTTCTCCACGCATCGCGCTGCTATCGCGGGATCTTGGCATTCGTCAATGTCTAGGGGGGAAGGAGAACGGAGAGCGGAGCTTTGATTAATCGAATGTGCCACGCAACAAATGACAAGTAATTAAAATCCGAACGCAGGCCATTTATCTCCACCTCCGAGAATACACTGAAGTGAAAGTTTACTCACTAGGGGCTTTAAAACGGAAAGGTTAGGGAAGAAACTTCTAGTATTAAAAAATCTAGTTTCGAAATCTTAAAAATCTATAAAATACGTATTTAAAGGTCACTGATCTATATAATTATTTAGGATATATTTCTACTTCGGATAAAATCTTAAAAAATTCAAATCCTACTGTTCTGGCAATACAAAGATTCAAAATGTATTGCATAGAAATAGTTCTATTGCATCTCCAAGTGTAGTTACCCCCCACCGGTAGTCGGACAGACTCCAATCTCAGCCTCATTCTAAAACTCTACGCATTTTGCCGCTTCAATGCGCTTTGCTCGCTTTGCAGCCGCACTTGGAGTTGGATTCGCTGCTGTAGCTGGAACTGCAGTGGATGCATCCGAGATTTGCATGTTACGCATGACATTTCAGTGTCGTTTCAGCGGCGTGGCAGCCACTGGTTGCAATGTCACAGCACAGGATGCACCAGTTGCATACGCTTTGCATGCCAATTGGCTGTGTGGTCAATGTTAATGGGACGGGCCATTTTCGTTTGGAATTTTCAAGCGGAGTACATCTCTAGTTTGGGGAATTCATAAATTCTTTCTTTTTTTTAAACTCTAATAAAAGGTGTAAGCGCTCCAACACATATTTAAATTATGTGTTATATTTATTTTAATGATGATTTTTAATAATATGTAACGTACATCTCTATAAATATTAAAAAAAAAAAAATTGCAAGGAATAAGTTTCAAGCCATCTCATAATGATAGCATATCCGTTGGCCCCTGCTATAATATTATTCCTTTAGAATAATCTATCTCTAAAACCTTCTTGAATAAGTAGCCATATTGGCATTAAGTTTAATACATTCACAAGAATTCTCGAATTGCATAAACCGGCAGTCGGCAACCCATCTAACCTTTCAGCTTAACCCAGCTCAGCCGCATTCTCTGGGTCTGAATGCGAATCCAAAGCTCAACTCAGCCGGAAGACTGGCTTAGGATGAGCTGGTGATTAAAACTTTCTGCTCCAATAGCGCGCAGCACATTGAGAATTCAATATCGTAGACGGTCGTAGCCAATGGAGCGGCAATTCGGCTGGATGGGATGGTAGAATGGTAGGGAGGGAACTGAACAGGAGGCCCGGCGGAATCATGGGCATGGGCAGCCGCTCCATTGCAATCTGGACCCATTAATCATTGGCCCGGCGAACAGGCAAAAGTTGTACATTTATAGCTAATATGACATAAGTACAAAAGTTGGCAAAAGCCAAAGACAAGGATCCTAGAGTGGGAAAAAGGGAGAAAAAGGGCGAGCGTTGGGCTTATAATTACAAGCAGAACGAGTTGGCCGTTCAGTTATAATTACTAGTTTTTAGCTTATAAATTAAGAGGATCATCACTCGGTTGCGGCGGGGCCGAAACTGGTATTTGCTCTTAACAACCGACTGATATGACAGCATTCCATGTTTGCCCGACATCGCTGCGCTGTGTGTTGCAATTGCAAACTCTGATTACTCAATGTCATCATCCTCGTCGACTCGACTTGGTCCCATGCCACTCTTGGTCTCTTCTAAATGGCAGTCCAAACCAGGAGTTCTCTTCCAGAAGCAGGAAGCATTCTGTGTTCCTCTAAGTTTCAATGTCAGTTTAATTACTTTATGCAATCCGACTGCAAGACGACAGCAGGCCAGGGATCTCGCATCCAGGCATCGGGCCATTGACCAAAGGCTGTCTAATGAACTTAGCACGCCCATTGCATCTCCTGCCAGGAATGATATTCTCACAGCCCGTTAAACCTTGAATCTCGACTGGGATGCGTGGATCTAATTTTGCTTCCACTCAGATTAAGATTTTCCAGCTTTCGCAAAATAGAATCACTTTTTGGCAAAGCTCTTTTTTCAGTAGATGTTCTAGCCGTCGGATTTGACCGCTTTAAAAGCAATCAAATATGCGTGACTCGATGTCATTAAGCCGAATGATTGCCTGAAATGATGCTGACATAATTCTCGTTGGCTGCCTTAAGCAGGGTCGTCTTCTTGGGTTTCCTGTTCGTCTCTAAATGCTAACGCAATGCTAACCATAATGACAAGTGGCATTTTACGAGGCGGTGATCTGGTCATTAAAATCACACACACACACACAAAAATGAAGAATAGGGGAAATGCTTAGAACATTATTATATCCATCTATTTCTTTGCATTTGATGTGAAGGAAACCTAACTTAATTTCAGTTTTGCCTGATGGGTTCTATACTTCCTGTCCGCAAAAACTGTAACTCAGTGGTGATTTAAATAATAGTCAACTGTTCGCTGACCAATCAAAGTGCAGCTCTGTGCCAATTAAAACTAATTATCAATCAGACACAAAGCTAAACCTAATCTCTATACATGGGTAGCAGTCTCGTCTGGCTGGCGTCTATCTAATAAATTGTGTAATTGTGGCACTAATTAGCATTTGCTGCATTTGTTGCATTTGTGTGCAAAACATTTTAAATTATGACATTCGTGCCATATAGAAGAGATAAAATTTACGAGCGGACATGACTTTCATGCTCCACCGACAGGCAATGTTGACTAGCAGCCCGAATAAACGAATAAAACAACTAAGTCGGCCAAACAGTTGAACTTGAACTCAAGCTAAAACCAACAGAGATAGTTATAAAGAAAACGCAAATTAGTTAGCAATTTGTTACGCAATTATGCGCCAAAGTTTTTCCGTGCCACTAAGTATACTCTAAGATCAAGGTCGGCCCGCAAGTGAAGTCACCCGGATCCGGATACGGATCCGAACCACTGGTAAATAGAAAAACAAAGCCATGGGTGGCTTTCCTGCAGGGAGCCGCCCCTCATTTGTGCGTAAATGTGGCAACACACGCGCGTATAATTAGGCGTGTCAATGCCGACGCTTAAAGCCATTTTCATGCCTTATCAGCGCCGGCTTCGACATGAGAATTAATTGCTGCCATTTTGATATGCAAAAAGTGCAAAGTACCTGGCAAAACAAAAAAAAAATTGCACTACAAAGAGGCCTAAAATAAGAAGCCACAGCAAAAAGAAAAACAACCAAGGAAGAAACCATTTTGGGATTACTCTAAAAACTATAACAAATTCCAGAAATAATTTCATACGCTTTCTATGTCATATTCAATGAAAATGAAGATTAATGGTATCTAACTTTATAATCTGCAACTAGAGCATTATTGCTCATGGTCAACAGTATTAAGCTCATTCTTGCTGAAAGCATAATACCCTCCTTGAAGGGTATTAAAAAAACGGAACGAAAAACTGGCAACGCTTATCAACTGACGCTGATCTCCAACTGGTGCGACGCCCGGCCCAAGTCGGCAGATTGAAGTTGGTGTCGGTTTTTGGCTTTGGTTTCGGCCTGGAAGCGGGACAAGAAGGCGGCTGTTGTTGGAGATGGAGCTGTTGTTGGAGCTGCAGTTGGAGATGGAGGCAGTGCCGTTTGGGGCTTTTGAGGACAGGCGGCATTAAGCGCCGACAACGCTACCGCCTCGGATCCCAAAGCCCGAGCTGAGACTGTGACGGCGTTGCTACGTGGGCACAATCTATTTTATCCGTTTTAATGATCTGCCCCAGTTAGCGAAACGAAAGGGAGCAGCCGCCGCTGGTGAACGTGCCTGGCTAAGCTGGAGCGGACCAACGAGCACCAGTCGATCCAACTCAGTGCTGTATTTGCGCCGTCTTGTTGTTTTTTGGCGCTGGCCAAGTGGAAATAAATTTTAGCACTCGGCTGGAGAGGTTCACTCCATTTTTATTGCGAGACAAATGCATTAGAAGGATCGATGGCTATATGTGCAGCAATACCCACTCTCTCTCGCCGCGTGTGTATATTTCATTTTTCAATAGTCATTGCATAACTGGACTTTTGCGATGCGTTAACGAAGCCATCGCCTTCGCCATCGCCATCGAACGCGTTTGGGTTATGAACATGAAATAATGCGCCACGGAGTCTAAAACAGGTGTTGCCACAAAGTACCGTTAGATGCATAAAAAGGAAATAAATGGCCAAGTGCGAAACAGGAAAACAGGTAGATCCACCTGCAGCCAAACACACCACTGCACACCACTGCAACACGCAAAATGTGTCTCTGAGCCGGCAAAGAGTGGGTTTGTCAGGCCAAGAGCAGTGTGATTTGTTACTAAGTTTATTGGGTGAACTTCATTTAGAAACTGGATTTACATAACGCCAGGGGACACCTCGAATCCCATGGAAAATCTGGGCGTTACACGATGGAAGACTTTCCTGTTCAAGAAGATTTAAGACTTCCATTATCATACTACTTGTAATGGGATCGTAAATAATGCCTGCATTTGATATGCAAACATATTAAACCCGAGCTAAAATGCTATAGTCGAGTTCCCCGACTATCAGATACTCGTTCTCAGCTAGTGAAAGTGCAAACGAGAAATTTTTTGGAATATTGGAACATATTTTTCAAAAATGCCACTTCAAAAACCAATTAAGATAGGTTGAGTTATGGACTCTGGAAATTCAGCCATGGAATATTATTTAATTTTTTTGAATTCTACAACATTATAAAATTTGAAAAAATTACAAAAAAAAAAAAATTTCCAAATTTAAATGCAGATTATTAGAGAATTACTCCACAAACATTAAAAGGTATGCCACTTCAAAATCCGATTAAGATAAGTTGAGTTATGGACTTTAGAACTTTAGCCTTGGGTCATTTTTGAATTTCTACAATATCCTCACATCAGAAAAATGCCAAAAAAATTGAGAAAAATTTAATTTCCAAATTTGAATGCAGATTTTTAGAGAATTGCTCCAGAAACATTTAGAGGTATGCCACTTCAATATCCGATAAAGATAAGTTGAGTTATGGACTTTAGAACTTTAGCCTTGGGTCATTTTTGAATTTCTACAACATCCTCACATCAGAAAAATGACAAAAATATTGAGAAAAATTAAATTTCCAAATTTAAATGCAGATTTTTAGAGAATTGCTCCAGAAACATTTAGAGGTATGCCACTTCAACATCCGATAAAGATAAGTTGAGTTATGGACTTTAGAACTTTAGCCTTGGGTCATTTTTGAATTTCTACAACATCCTCACATCAGAAAAATTACAAAAATATTGAGAAAAATTAAATTTCCAAATTTGAATGGAGATTTTTAGAGAATTGCTCCAGAAACATTTAGAGGTATGCTACTTCAAAATCCGATTAATATAAGTAGAGTTATGGACTTTAGAACTTCAGTTTTGGGACATTTTTGAATTTCTACAGCATTATAACATCAGAAAAATGACAAAAAAATTCAGAAAATTAAATTTCCAAATTTGAATGCAGATTTTTAGAGAATTGCTCCAGAAACATTTAGAGGTATGCTACTTTAAAATCCGATTAATATAAGTAGAGTTATGGACTTTAGAACTTCAGTCTTGGGACATTTTTGAATTTCTACAGCATTATAACATCAGAAAAGTGACAAAAATATTGAGAAAAATTAAATTTCCAAATTTGAATGGAGATTTTTAGAGAATTGCTCCAGAAACATTTAGAGGTATGCTACTTCAAAATCCGATTAATATAAGTAGAGTTATGGACTTTAGAACTTCAGTCTTGGGACATTTTTGAATTTCTACAGCATTATAACATCAGAAAAGTGACAAAAATATTGAGAAAAATTAAATTTCCAAATTTGAATACAGATTTTTAGAGAATTGCTCCAGAAACATTTAGAGGTATGCTACTTCAAAATCCGATTAATATAAGTAGAGTTATGGACTTTAGAACTTCAGTTTTGGGACATTTTTGAATTTCTACAGCATTATAACATCAGAAAAATGACAAAAAAATTCAGAAAATTAAATTTCCAAATTTGAATGCAGATTTTTAGAGAATTGCTCCAGAAACATTTAGAGGTATGCTACTTCAAAATCCGATTAATATAAGTAGAGTTATGGACTTTAGAACTTTAGTCTTGGGACATTTTTGAATTTCTACAGCATTATAACATCAGAAAAATGACAAAAAAATTCAGAAAATTAAATTTCCAAATTTGAATGCAGATTTTTAGAGAATTGCTCCAGAAACATTTAGAGGTATGCTACTTCAAAATCCGATTAATATAAGTAGAGTTATGGACTTTAAAACTTCAGTCTTGGGACATTTTTGAATTTCTACAGCATTATAACATCAGAAAAGTGACAAAAAAATTCAGATAATTAAATTTCCAAATTTGAATGCAGATTTTCATTTAGAGAATTGCTCTGCAAACATTTAGAGGTATGCCACGTCAAAATCCGATTAAGATAAGTTGAGTTATGAACTTAAGAACTTTAGTCTTGGGACCTTTTTAAATTTTTTGGAATTTCTACAATACCATCACATCAGAAAAATTACAAAATAATTTAGAAAAAATAAATTTTCAAATTTTAATGCAAATTTGTAGAGAATTATGCCAGAAACATTCAGAGGTATGCCACTTCAAAATCCGATTAAGATAGGTTGAGTTATGGACTTTAGAACTTCAGCCTTGGGACATTTTTAATTTTTTTGAATTTCTACAACATCATAACATCAGAAAAACGTTTCTTTCTGTCTGTTATGTACTTTTCAACGAATCTAGTATTCCCTTTTACTCTACGAGTACGGTTTATAATATTCCTGTCAATTATCTAAACACATGCTGACGCAATCTGATACTCTATCTATATCATATGTTGAATTATGCAATCAGCTACTGGTGCCGCATACAATAATTGTGTATTTAAGAGCATTCGCCTTGGGAAATGGAGTGCGTGCCCCTGATGAAGGTGCAACTATTCCACGCAAATGCGCAGATGGCGAGTGAAACTTTCTCAGCGCATTTAAAACTAATTCAGATGGTTACTGACAATTGGAAGTGCTAGTTGCTTCGGGTTTTGGTTCTGGGTCTCCCGAGGAGGGCCCTGTCCCCAATGCAGCATGGCGAGCGCAATCATGCCATCGTGAATAATATGCGAGAAAAAGTTCTATAGAAAAGAATTAGATAATGCGACTGAAATGCGATGCCGGCGTTACACGTCGCTGCTCAGAATTTATGCATGCCTGCCGCTGGATGGGATCTTGCCATTTTGTGACTGGGACTCTCCTCCCGGCTCCTCCATATCACTCGTCACATGTAATCTAGAATCTTGGCAACGTCTTCATACGTAGCGGGGTAATGTCAGAGTGTCTGTGAAATTTGCGCTCGTTATCGCATTGCATCGTATGCAGGTGGGGCGTGGCATGGGCTCCTCCCTCCAACATTGCACACCTCTTCATCCTACTCCGCTGGGAGTGTTGAAAGTTCTGGCGTGTCCATGTACGGGGTCAGATTACATGACACTGATCCCCCGTCTAACAGACAGCGTGTGTGTTGCATGGCGCGAAAGCATTGCCACAAATGCTGTGGATTTTATTGTTCGGTTTCCCCGATCCATCCGCATCATTATCACCGCCATCATCATCTCCTATTGGAAGTGAACTACTTGCGATGGGTTCAAACAGAGTTTGAGAAGCTCGAGTTGGAAAGATAACTTTTTAGTACACTTTCCTAGTTATTATTGCTGCTCACGACGTTGTTCTTGTTTTCGATTCGTTCTTCTTTGGCCTTAGCGATGCCGTAATGTGCTTTTATTACGTAACATTAAACGAAGTCCAATTACGACAGCCGGTTTCTCGCTGTCATATACTCTCCAAGTCGTAATCGTTCTCGCTCATATGGAGGAACAGGTGCGCCAGCACACGTAGAGTTCTATCTTCTAGCTTTTTGGGCCCCTGCTGTGCGGCACTTAGTCTAACGAGCGAATGGAACCGACCTCAGGATTAAAACTGTAGCGCAGATCGACGGAAACTGATTGAGATATTTCGGAATTCGTTTGGCCAAGAGATCCAAAACATCCAGATAGCTCCAGCCTGGGATTAGTTTGCCCGCCCGTGGCTCTCTAATCCGCTCTAGCCTTGCCACAATACATCCAAGTGTAATCGCTACACGGTCATTATTATTACCTCGCAGATAAGTATTACTCTATTCTGGCTGAGAAAGCTTTCATATTATTGTCTGGCGCGTCTTTTGTTACATTTTCAGCTTTGGAGGCTGGGCACTCGAGACGTCTATTTGCTGGGAATGGCACAAACCGTTAGGTCAAACTACATAAAGCCTTTAGTCTGGGCTAAAAAGAGACGTTGACGGAAGTACAAAACGGCAAACAACAATCATCTGTACGATGCTTGGTTGGCTGGTCAGTCATTATGCTAACTAATACAATGAAACTAAGACGGAGGCTGTGTACTAAGGTTACACAGAAAAAATCACTAGATGAGTCTTTCGTTTGATATAAAGAATGAAATTGTTAGAACATTGCATTTGATAAAACAGAACGCCACCTATCCATATAACATGACATTAGGTTCCATAGATTGATAAGTAGTTCTTGAGTAGATCCTTGCCTAATTTAACTTGTATACTATTTACACACTATTCAAATATCTCAGTGTACAACTTACCTTCACAATGGAAGCCATTGCCGCGATAGCCCGGAAAGCAGGTACACGTGAAGCTGCCCAGTGTGTTTGTGCAATGGGCGAACACGTCGCACGGCCGCTGTTTGCATTCGTTCTCATCTGGGGGCAGAAATTGGAGAGTTAGCAGGGGATTTTAACGGTTATGTAAGTTAAGACCAGAACAGACACAATCAGACTCACCTTTGTCCACGCAATTGCAGCCGCCGTAGCCGTCATTGCAATGGCAGACGCCGTTCAAACACGCGCCATGTGTGCACTTGGTGCCATCCTTATCACAGTCATCTGCGGAAAATACACGATCGGGGGTTAGGCAAACCCATTAAGCTTTCAAGCGATTCCCGGTTAGATACTCACTTGTGCATTTGAGCTCTTTGCTCAACTCATCGGCACCCAGAAAGCAATCTTGGGTACCGTCGCATAGTTTCGATAGGTTGAATAGCTGCAAATATTCGGTGGACTCGTTGACTTGGCAGCCAAAGTAGCCATTCTCGAGGTTCAGGTAGAAGACCTCGCCGCGAAACCGACTATTCGCCCTCAAGTTTGTCTTGAATGGTTGCGGTTGTTGTGAATATTGTGAATGTACCTGCAAGCACACGATACAAATAAATTAGTTAATGGCCAGTTACTGCTATTAACCCAATTTAAACAGGATGCTTATTTGTATATGTATATTTAAAGCTAATTGAAGGCACAATATATAGCAATGACCTGCTCAAAACGGCTTTTGATCTCATTTGGAAAATTTCTGGGAAATATATAATAAGATTCGGTATAACCAAGAATAATGTATACATATATACGGAACCTGCTACTGACACCAGCATTTTGTAGAAGGAAAGATAGTAGCGATCCCCAATCCGCCCCAACAAAGGGTTAAACCTTTTCCAAATGCCAACCTTCGCTGCAACCTCATTTCGTTGATGATAGTATTTAGGGTTCCCCAGCTGGTTCGCTAAACTAATTTAGATTCAAATTAGATACAGCGAGCTTAGCAGGCGTAGCACCGGCAGCGCTTCTTCAGATTTCTCAACCCGATGTGGTCCATATGGGCACGACCCGATCGTACAGAAACGAGTATTATATGTAGATACACCGGTCCATTCTCTACTATACTGTGTTGTTCCGCCGCCACTTAATTGTTACACTTGGCTGATTTTACTTTTAGCAAAACAAAAGTTGTTCGCCGCTTGCCATATTTTCTTGGCCAAAACTCTGGCGACTGGCGGCTGGTTCGTTTGTGTGTTTCTGCTGGCAGTATTAGATAGCTGGCTGCGAAACAAGTTTGTCACTTAAGACCTTTTTGTGCTCCAGCAAAAATGAATTAAAACTAGTTTCTATACATGTACCTATTGTCGCATTGCCCGTTTTGATACATATGTATGTGATCGTACTTCTATTTTTGTAGCCTGTTCAGTTCGACTTCCTACGCTCAAATATAGTTATTAAGTGGTTAGATCAGATTTGGAAGCAGATAAATATTTGTAAAACAAGATTGGTGGTGATTTCTTCAATAAATATCAGAATGAGTGCCCAAAGTTCATGCATTCTCTTTTAGTGATTACTATTGAGCAACAAAACTTTATAACTTGCTCTTAGAAGTGAGCACTTTAATGATTAAACCTATAGTAACGATTTCTTTTTAAGGCTTGATTATTTAAGTATTGTACGTTTGTATTGATTTATAGTACACTCTATGCATGTTATTCAAGGCTTTCTTTCAATAAAAAAATAAAAATGTATACTATCAATATGGGTTTATTTTGTCCGTTGCCTTAAAGTCTTTTCCTTATTATGCCATTAAATACAGAGTTCTTTGTCTCAATTAAGTAGAAGGTTCCCCTCTGCTATTTATTTTCCCCAGTTTCCTTATGTAAGGCCAATTTTCTCTGCCTTTGTTTGTGGGCGCCTAATGAGCCCAGGGAGGCCATAAAAAGGCAGCTTAAATTGCTCTACGACCCCGCCATGGAAGGTGTGAACATGAGGCACTGGCTGTCAAGTTCAAGTTTAGCCGCGAATTGTTTTAGGCAGATTCTTATCGGGAGGAAGACGATGGAGGCGGGCTCTCTTGTAGAACTCTATGTGGCTGCGGCTGTGGCTGTGGCTTTTCAATTGCTTTGTACCCACTTCACTTCACGCCATGCAACGCTAACGGCCTTGCTAAACAATAGATTCCGCCGACTCTGCGACTTTTATCAATTGACAGGCGGCACAATGAGCACCACATGCACTCAACTGAGGCAGCAATACTCGCAGTGTGCTGCAACAATTAAAGGCGTGCGAGCAAAGATGTGCGCAGCCCATGGGGATGCTGATGCTACACACTGATCCAACTGATGCCTCCTCTACTGAAAATGACGATAATGATGATGATGATGCGGCTGCTGAACGGCAAAAGCTCCCATGACATTGAGCGGCATATGCCAGCGACTACAATGCGCAATTTTTCGTTGCCAGGCTTGTTAACAGGCGCAATGACAACGGCAGACAGATGACGACGTTGCACGTCAACGCTCAAGTGCACATCCGTTATAACTGTCAATGGGTATTAACTTGGCTGTATTTGGGAAAACCAAACTACTGCCATATATTTTATTTAAGAATTATTTTCTTTTTCATTCCGACACATCCTAACTGGACTGAAATTTAGTAATAATTTACTTTTTACAAAAATAATAAATCTCTGAGGCTAACAATTCACGAAAAAAGGTGTTTATAACATAAGCAGCATAACCTTTTTATTTTTAAGCAGGGAGTGGTAAGTTCATACAAGTCTACCTTACCCGCGCAAACCATTTGTAAAAATTGTCCTCAGAACAACAAAGTATTCGTCAACCGGCAAGTTTGTTGCCTGAGTTTTTTGTTTGAAAAACTCACAATTAATTATGATCCCATCTAGCTAATCAAATGAATTATGACTGCCTCGCATAAATCAAGTTCCAACGCACGAAAGAAAGCAAATATCCGTAAACAAAATCTTGCCATGGATCCATTGACAGAGTGTCGCAAAGAAAACCACAAACGGGAGAGAGAGGAGTCAATGAACTTGGCTTTAGACTTAGGGAATTCTCTTGGCCAATTTCTCAAAGCCCCTCGGAGTTCCCTCATTTACACCGGACACCCTTTCCCCTCTCACCAACTGCATAAATCGATGACTATCAAAGCGTTTTTACAGCTAATGCGGCTATTTTTATTCATTACGTTTTCTTGGCTTTCTTCCATCGATTGGCTCCGTTTGGTTGAGTTCCTCGGCCAGTCGTTGACCGCAGACGCTGTGATTCTGCTCTTCCGTTGGCCCTATCATTACTAGTCAGTCTTTCTAGCCTGGTTTTCTTCTGTATGGCTTGAAATTCATCTCTGGCTGCCAAATTGTTTCCCCAGCATCATCGTTTCCTCTCATTCTCCTGCAGAGTTCACAGCTAGCTGTTAGTTTTAATAAATAGATATGTTCTCGCTATGCCCAAGTCATTTTGCAGTAACTTCTTTTTATGGCTCATTTGCATGAGACCAGTCCGAATACCGTTAGGTCATCAAAGGTTCCAGCATCGTTATAATTTGTTTCCTCTACTTCGCTCTCGGATTCTATATTATATCGCATCATAATAACATTTGTTAATCATTGGAGTTCTTTCACTTTTGGGATCTCTCTTGCCTTATTTGCTCAGAATAAAATTTGTTTCATAATGAGGTGGCAGCTCATAAATTTAATCATATTTCTTTCCATTCCACCGACGAGGCGAAAAGCCTTTTGTTTGAGCCTTTCGAGAACCCATAAATTAATTATGACCGCTACGCTAACTGCCGCTGGCAGCCTCTGATCTAATCCCATCGAAATTCAGGTTTAGCCCCGTCAACTTAAAACTAATTAGCTTAATAATGAGTAATGTTTATGAGGTACTTACTGCACTCGAGAGTAGTAGCACTATCCACGTGACTAGTGGCAAAAATATTTTCATTTTTGCTGCAAAGAGATCAAAGAGAAAAAAATCACACATTAATAACCATTGAAAAATCAATTACAGCATGTTGGGTAACAAAAAATAAATATAATTAAGGCCACCCGGGAATAACCACTTAAGCCATAAGACTCTTTTCGGCTCTGGCCGAAAAATAAGACAAATAGAAATAATTAACTTAAAAATGTTGGGCACGCACAAACAAAACACAATTGGCCTGGTCATCTCGAACAGGTGCCAAAAAACAATGAAGGAGGTACGAAAGACAAATGCCCAGTCGGGTAAATGACACTTGAAATTTATGCGCAAACACGAGTCTGGGTCTGGAATCCCAGGCTTATCGCTTCCTTCGTCTTTCCCTGAAAACTTATCCAACAACGGGACCGGCATAAAAAATATAGTAATGCCCGAACACCTTTGGCGAAACAGAAAATGTTTAATGGCCGCAATATTCATTGTTTGCTACCTGTTGGCGATTTTCTCACGCATTCGTTTTCCACTTTCAGTTTTGGGTTTTCAGCCCGGCGACTGATTTTCATTAGACTTTGGTCTTGGCAACGAGAAAAACGTCAAATGGGCATGGACTCCCTCTGCGCGTTAATTGCGTAGAATGACAGAAAACTGTTTTCCCCTGGAGACGCCCGGGTTTTTCGGATAACGTAATCACTTTTGTGTGAAGTCCGATAGCATCTTTATATGGTAGGTGGGAGCATTCGTGATTATGACATAAGACAGCTGGACAGGCGGAAGTGTCTGGGAAGAAGGCGTTAGTCTGCAGGTCACAAATACACAGTTGAGTTTTCACAACGAAACAATTTACATGATTGTACACAAATGTCCTATTATTAAACAGATTATAAGATTGTAAGAGTATTAGAAGTGTGCTGTTAATTCCAGTTCAGTGTAAGGTGCTAGGTTTACCTAATATGTTGCTTCCAGGAACGTCAGCCATCCTTCCTATCGAGGGCCCACTGTAACTGCAGATGGGCGTGAACAAACAACTTTCTTAGCCTGGCGTGAATGCTTTAACGTGTGTAAAAGTATTTGCCATTATCTATCTGCGAGTGCGGTAAACAGGAAAACAGCGCCTTGGGTTGGCCATAAAGCCTTCAACGGGCTAAAGGTAAAAGGCAGGCCAAGGATTGTGTTTCCCTTTTGGACCACGATTTATCTATTTCGGTTTATCAGCTAATAAACGCTTAAATAAAATACACACTCTGAGCCAAATTACATGCGCTTTGCAGTTCGCCAAGTTAGCAGAAGGAAGTTGCTTACTCTCGCAGCCGGGACTTCGCGTCTCGTTTGCTGACTTGGCCATAAAGGGCATTTTGGCCCGGGATCCGGGTCCAGAGATTTGCTCCATTCTAACGACATTTGAAGCCCGTGCAGTCGGGCGTCTTCTAATCTTGTTTTGGCCGTTTCCAGATCCAAGTCCGCGGCCCCTGGCCATTTGTGTTTGCCCATGTTCATGATCACTTAATTAAAGCTGAGCCCCCAGTGGTAGTTTTCCAACTCGGGCTTATGTTTATTGTGGCTGGGCTACGGAAAGTACTGTGTTCTCTGATGTCCGATAAATTTATGTGGCCGCGAAATGAGCGTAATTTGGTGGGTTTGGGTTGGTTCGGATTAACTGGCCGGTATTGGGGTTTCCTGGGCAGCTCCCTTTGGCTGACAAGCTGATATATGTGCGTGATAAATGTGGCAAATGCGGTTTCTTGTTTTTCCACCGATTGCAAATCACGAAGTGCAATGCGGCAGCGAAAGAAACGCGGCGCCTCCATTTGCAGCACGTATTTCAAATTTCCAAATTATCGTCAGCCACGGCAAATCGAAGGAACTCCTATCTAAGATGCTCTTAATGGCTTTCTTTCTGCTTTTAATAGTAATTGGCGGCTTTTTGCGCTTTACAATTGGACAGTTGCACAACAGAGCTTTATTGAGCAGTGATGGTAATTGCTCGATAACGCACAGGAAAGTGCGATAACAGCAGAAGTGATGCATTCAACAAGTAAAGCCATGGAACAGGCGGAATGAAACAGGAAGCCTCTTTTGAAAGCAGGATTTCGAGATAATTAACCTATTAAGCAAACTCATTATTTAACGAACTCTTCGCCCAACAACCCAAAGCTCAATTCGACTTAAGCTAACGGCACCGCCGGCTTGATATCTACGCACGAATGTCCGTAGATCTAATCTAAATATTTATACAATGTCAAATCATTTTTGAATGAAGGCCAAACAACCGCCGGTCACTTGAGTTTTATAAGAGTTGGAGGTAAAGACCGAAAAATCGTTGAATCTCTTGATATGCCAAACGAAAATCTGGCAGTTCCCTTGCCCCCATCTCCGCTGTTGCCATCTCGCTCTGATGCGGCGGCTGTCAACGCTATCAACGTCACTGCCGCCATCCCCGTCTCTTTTCCTCGATGGGGGATGATCTCATCTCGCTTTAACCTGTCTAGCCACTAAATCAAAGTCAAAGAAGCCAGCCAGTGACACATTTTTGCCCGATCGTCCGAAAACCAAAAACAACAGCATTCTCCACAAAAAAACACACAGACGTAAAATTAATGATGGCATCTTTATTAAAAATAAATGCCGATAGCTTGAAAAATGGGTTTCTCGCAAAGCAAACAGTTTGTGCAGCGCATTGGCTGAAAAGTGGAGAGCGCTAGTGTGAACACACCCAAAAAGATTCCGACCGGATGCTGGCGCGTCATCGATGCAATCGACAGTAGTTGGGAATTTTTCATGTTAATTCGTGCGTTTTACATGCGAGTGGCAATTGGGCTTTGATTGATTTCGAAATGGCAGGCGGCGCCCCATTTTATTTCTCTTTACTTGTGCGCTTTGCCATAAATCTTTCATAAATCGATTTAATCTGCCCCTGGCCACGCCCACATGCTGGTGGGCCCATCAATTAATTATACTTTTTCAATGTCAAAATGTCGCTGCAAGGAATGTGCGCCTTCTGTTGAACCCTTTTTTTATGTATGATTTACTTAGTTGACTGCATTAATGCTGAGGCGCCGGCGAAACGGAACCTGTGAGCTGGGTCTGATCCTGCGGCTTAGTCTTCTTTTCTAATTGCAGGTTTTCCAACGCCCCGATGTGAAGGTCACTGACAGTATTAAGTACACTCGGAAAAGTTTTGCTGAGCTAAGTCCTACTAATTGATAATACAACAATTGTATTGTATGCTGTTTTCTTATAGAATGCATTTTTGTTTAAATTTCAAAATCCCACTAAGCCTTTTCGCTCGGTGTATACATACATACATGTATAATTTCGCGCCCGGCAGTTAATGCCGCCGGCCTGTCTCCAGCATCAAGTTGTGGCCAGGAGGCGGAGGGCGTGGCTGGGCCGAGCTAAACTCACTTATTCACCTGCCCGCATGCCAACAAAGTGCAGCATCAGCAACCAGTTCGCATGAAAATGCATAATCAATCACCAGCGACAACGGCGACCAGAAAAAGTGAAAAACTTGTGGCAGAAGTTTCAATACTCTTTATAGGCGGTATCCATAAAGCGGACAACGCCAATCTTCGTTATACAGGAGATATTCGTGAACAGCAACAGTAATTTTGTGAATTTGCGTTATGACCTAGGCTTTTGATGAACGTTCCTTTGACGGGCTCGAAGTGGTTTCATACCCATTGTCGGAGTCCAAGTCCATGGTGTCTTCATGGTCGCTGGCATCCTTGAACTCGATGCGCTGCTCGTAGAACGATATGACCAGTTCGGGCCATCGAATGTTGGCCACCTTGGCGGGCACCAAATCCGCTTGGTCGCAACCCTTCCACTGCATCAAAAACATCAGCTCGCCGGACCAGTCGCAGACTCCAATGATCCGCAATGGCTGGAGTCCACGATCAACTCCAAGTGGTTGCTCCTCCAGGTAAGTCTTAGTTTGCGAAGGATCCATTTTAATGAATGGATATCGTGATATTTTAATAGGCAACTTGTTTAGATGTTTGATAGATCGCCAATTGTCACTTGTCGTTAAGTGCGTTTCAGGTTTCAGTTTCGATAACTGTTGGTATCGATTTGTATTTGAAATCCTGTAGGTGTGACAACCCTGAGTGTGAAACGCTTTAAGGGAAAACGCAAATAAATGTTACATTTCCACATAACCATATTGTTTAGCATCAAGTTAGGGTATTGTACATTCCAACGCCCATTGAGCGTATCATTGGTGCATCTTCATCTGACATTTCGCACGACTCGAATCGAATGTCAAGGCGCGATTGCCGGCGATATTACTAGCGATATTGGCCTTACGCGGCTTCACTTGTTAACTTGAATTCGTGTAAAGTGGCCGCTCATTAAAAACTCATAAATCAGGGCAAAAGGGAGGAGGGTTTTCGGTGGCACCACCAGTAATTGCCGTTGCTGGCCCAGTGTCAAAATAAAGGCAAAATAAAGGAACCCAACTAGTCGGCGGAAATGATCGGCAACCAGGTGATTGGGATGGTGGGAATGGGGCATAAAGAGACTACAGCTACATACATACAAGTAATTTCCGCATATTGGAAGTCTCGTACTCTCGGATGGGCCTGTGATTAATGATTAATCTGCTCGGTGCATCCGCCGCTATGACATTTAGCCAACGCCGTCTGAGAACCCGCTTCAGCAACAAAAAGAATCCGATTCGAAATCAGAAACAGAAGTCGGTGGTGGGGTGGCCAGTTTGAGCCGAGGTCTCCGGTCGCCAGTTGGATCCATTAAACGCCGCTGGAGCTGCTTGGGCGCACAATTTAAAGCAGCAACTAACGCAGTTAGACAACAAACCACTTTCAAGAGCTGGCTGGCAAACAGGGAAAACGGCTTTCAACTCGTTTCGCTGCCCGCTCAGTTGCAGTTGCATACACTGGGAAAACTAAAGGGTATTCTCCAACTAAGTCGAGTTTTTTTGTATAATCTTATTCTTAGTATTTGGCTTGGAATGCTTATAAGAAAAAAAAAATAACATTTCATTTCAGATGGATTTCCTATATTTCAAAATAGTTTATATAAAGGAAGGAACAGAAAGAAACAAAATTATTACTAAAGTGAAACAGGTTTGAATCCAAGAAAATTGATATTTGCAATGCTATTTGCAAATTATGTATTTTATAATATTTAAAACTATTTTATTCTTCATAAAGAATTATTATACTCATAAAATATATTTTGCAAGTGTACTGCCGTTAATGCTGTTGCTGCCGTGGGTGCAGCCGTTGAATGTTGCATGCTGCCAGTACGTTCAACTTTTGCAGTTAACAGTTAGATTTTGAAATAGCCAGCAGCACTGGCACTGGCATCGGCATTGGTATCGGTTCTCTGGGATTCCAGTTTTCTGGCCACGGCCTGAGAACCCGGCGATCAAGATGCGCAGCTCCACCACGACGGAAGGAAATTGCCGATCGCTGCATTGCGCACATCAAATAAATACTGGACTGGTACTTGGCAATTTTTGTGTTAAAACAAAATTAAAGCAATGCCAGCAGTGCTGCTGCGGTGTAACATTAACCCAAATACATAATACCCATTCCCGCCACATCGACATCGGACAAGGATCGGCACATTAATCATTGGCAGGGGGACAGCTCTTGGGAAGTGGCAGCATATTTGGGTCTATGGGTGAGCCCCAGTATCCTAAGCAGGAAATCATTAGAGTGCGGTCCGCAGGAATCCGCAGGGGTTTGGCTCATACGTATTTCTTGGGAATTCATTTTGTAGATCTTGGCTCTGCATGAAGGTCAGTTTCTAAGCCTTCAAGCGGAGATCATCGCGTGACTGGGCAACAAAAACCCATTATAAATTCCTCACATTTATGATGTGTCCTTCTGTCAGCGATGATAAAATATCATACCACTCTCTTCTAAACTTCTGAATTTTTCGTGTTTTTGTAGATATAAATATATAAATTAGCAGAGCCCATCTTGAACGCTGCCCAACTGCTGGTGGATACTATTTGTACAACACCTCTGTTGTCGTTTCTAAGAAGGTAAATGTGAAGGGCATGTGAAAATATTAAAATAAAGAGCTTAGCCCTTTAAACAAAATCTACATCTTATCCCCTTATTTCGCAGATCTTCACTTCAATGGTATATTGATATATATGTATGTATGCAACTAGGCGAGTGAGACATTACATGCGATATCCGAGAACAATGTATATATCTTGTCAGCAGGGAAGCGGCTCGATCGGATTGACTTTAGCTGACTGTTGACAAGTTTCTGATAAGATTAATATGCCGCACGAGCTTAAAGGTTAAGCATGCAAATCAGGCGGTGGAAGTGGAAGTGGCGGTGGCAGTGGCACTGGTCCAGCGGGAAGCATTGACCGCTCAGAAGGACATGCACTGCTGGCCAGGGAAAGGATGAGGAATTCTGGAGGAGCTGGAGCAGCAGGAGGCTAGATGGCTGGTTGGTACGAGCTACTAAATCTCTTTATTGCCTGGTGGCAACACAATGGGGGAACTGAACTGGAGACGCCGACTTATTTGTAGTAGCTACAGCCACTACGCACCGTATGCCTGATGTATTGTTTTTATAAGGCTTATCCCCATTTTTTTATATATATATATATATTTTTTTTTTTCTTTTGGTTTAGTTCCCTTGTTTATGGTGTGCTGCTGTACTGTTTTGTTTATGCACATGCACATGCACCCAATGAGATCAAGTCGATACGTTTCGATTTGTTAAGAGATGGCACCTAAGCGGAGGCCAAGACGATGGTCACTGGTGTCGCATTGACATAATTGAGACATTATCGATGGCCTCATTGGTGGACTCTATTTGCTGCCAAGGGGCGAAATGTCCAGCGATGATCGCCTGGAAATGTCAAGGTTACATTGCCGACCTTTGGCCAAGCACGAAACAATTTAAATGCAATTTTTGCTTAAATAAGAAATAAAATCCACAGCAAGGCAAACATCTGCAGAACTACAAACAAAAAAAAAAAAAACAAAAAAAGAAGAAACAAATATTTGCTAATTTATCCTGTACGTGTCCTCCAACTAAGTGCACAGGTTTTGGGCCTTAAGCCGGCACGTTACCGCTGACCCTCCTCCAGCTCCAACTTCATCTCCTCCTCATCCGCTTCCTCATCCCCATCTTGGGCATTTAGGTCTTCTGGTTGTCTTCTGGCTCTTTGGGCCGTGTTGATTGTTTGCGTTGGACGCTGGCTGTTAAAATGCCTTTGATCTTCTGATATTTCTTGGCCCTGGCCTGGTCTCCCGGTGCCCAGAGAACCAGAGAGCCCAGCGGACATGCCAAAATGACCAGTCCCCCATTCCCGACGACTTCGACGCACGGCGGGCGTATTTAACTTGACTTTGACTGGCTCCAACTGCAGCTCTAGGCCCTTTTCTGGTCTCTGCGGGCAACTTGTTAAAAAGAATGTCGACTCCGGGCGACGCATGTTTTCTTATTTTCCTCCCATTTTGTTCTTTTATTTCCCCAGTCTGGAGAACTCCTCTTTCGGCGGACTCTAAAATTTCGCTTTCATTGCCGGCCATGACTGTGTTTTTTTCGTTTTCCCCCCACATTTAACCCAGAAATTAGCCGCTAACCCAACGATCTGGTTGCAACTCTTTAATGCACCTTCAATGGCTAAAAGCTAAGGAGCTGACGAGGAGAATCGAAAGATCCGAAGTTCGGTGGAGGGCCAGAGGTGTTAATTAGGTTTTTTATAGTCTACGAATCTCTGTGCCACATTATTGGCAAAGCAATCTTCGGGGGCCGTCGCTAAACATAAATGTCAATATTTATTTACGCCGTTGCGGTCGCAATTTATTTCCAGTTTTTAATTGAAAAGGCTGGCCTCCGACGGGGATACTGGAGTGCGGCCACAATTTGCTGCACAATGTGTCTAAGCTGAGCCTCGTAAATGTCCAGACCGCCGTAAATTGTGGCCCGCACTGAGGCGAATATCGGCTAAAAAGTGTATATATGCCAAGGACATGCTCTTTATTATGGGAGAGAAGATCTGGAAACTGGTTTTTCTATTACAACAAGGCAGGGCCGATATTTTGGCTTCGAAGGTGGTGACCCATCCATTCCACACACTTGTAAATGCGTTTGCCAAGCGGTAATAAAATAAACCTGTGAAATGTGAATCTATTGTTATCAGGTTTTATTTTAAAATCTCAAAAAGGTTCCATACCTTACCATTAAATTCTGATCAGTGATTCCGTTCGAATAATATTGCTACACTACCAGTTTGATAACCAAGAAGTACCTTCACAAAATTTCACAACGTGATCAATGCATTGCTATGGCGTGGCTATTAAACAAATTGAATAAATGGCAGCCATAAAAATGCAGATAATCTGTAATATATTTCCCATTTCCAATTACCATGCCTGCTGCACTGATTCCTAACTGACACACTTTCTTGGAGTGTAGAGTGTGGCGACCACGGCCCACATGTGGCCGTTTTTGTGGGTTTTTGTGTGTTTTCGTGGCATGCGGAGCTGACCTCCAATCGACAGAGCCCGTGGCGCCTTTGATGGCTTTCCAAAATGCACACATTTCGCCTACGCCGGGTGAAAGAGTCTGGCCGAGATGGAGAGCACGGAGTAGGAGCAGGAGTTGGGCTGGCCACACCATAAATGGACACACACGATCTGGGGAGTGCAGTACAGACTGCTGCAGTCGAAAACCCCATGTGGCCATAAATGGAGCTGGCCATTAGAAAGGTAAATTGCAGTCGATTTAATTCAATGCAGGAGAGTCAGTCAGTCAACTATAATTACCAGTGGTGGTGACCTTTCGGACGCTTCGATGATTTGACTAAGTGCCTTGAACACCCTCGGCTCTCCAGTTCTTGAGGTTACATAATGGGTATGAAGACCCGTGTATGGGATACGCTGCAAAGCAATCAATCATATAAGGGCAGCGCCTAACGGAAATACCCAGAAATAATGTAAATTCAAGAATCTGAATAATCGGGTAAGGTGACTGGTTCTTCACTTTAGTTTTAGGAGTCAGCACTCCAAGTTCGGTTTTACCATTCTAATTTATATGATTTTTACGTAGCTATCCGGCGGAAGTAAACCTC